ACAGTGAGACTGTGTCTCAAAAAAAAAAAAAAAAAATTTTTTTAAATTGGCAAAATATTATTCATTTTAGAATTTTAAATTACTGTCTTAGTCCATTTGTGTTGCTATAAAGGAATACCTGAGGCTGGATAATTTATAAAGAAAAGACATTTATTTGGCTCACAGTTCTGCAGGCTGTACAAGAGGCATAGGGTCAGCATCTGCTTCTCTTGAGTGGCTTAGGAAGGTTCCACTCATGGTGGAAAGGGAAGGGGAGCAGGCATCACATGGCGAGAGAAGAAGGAAGAGAGAGAGGGGAGGTGTCAGGCTCTTTTTAGCAATCAGCTCTCTTAGGAACTAATAGAGTGAGAACTCACTCATTACCAGTAGGACCAACCACCAGGTCATTCATGAGGGACCCCCCCCCATAACCAATATACCTTCCACTAGGCCCCACCTCCAACACTGGGGATCAAATTTCAACATGGGATTTGGAGGGGACAAATATCCAAACTATGTCAATTACAGATGTGAAAATAGGAACACAGAAAAAAATTAAAGGAATGCTAATGAATTTGTTGCTGTTTCCTATAAGCCCATTTTGATGGCAAAGTTTTGGGGGCACGATGACAACCTTTCTGATCCGCTGACAGTGAGACATACTCACCCCCCTTCCCCCCACCTTGGACACGTGCTTTAAAAAATTATTTTCTGGTCCATCTGTGGTTGGTGTTTTCCATTTGGGCCTTCTGACTCAAAGAAGATTTATTCATCTTAAAATAAGATTCCTCAATTAACGATAAACCAAATGTTTTGTAAGAGCTTATTTGATTCTAAAGTGATGGTTTAAAAAATATTAGCAATTTGAGGGCACTTAAGCAGCTTTGCAAATTCAGCTGCATCCAGCCTCCAGCCTCATGGCAAAATCTGGTTTTGAATTCCCTCATCCTGCTAGAATCTTCCAGCTATGACAAGTGGCATCTACTTTTTTCTTTTTTTTTATCTTGAGACTTTTTTCCTTCCTACTTTCTCTTGGATATTCAGTGACTGCCTCATTAACTAGCTTGGGTCTCTACTTTTAGAAATTTGAATGTAGTGGTTCTGGGGGTGAAGCCTGAATACTTACATTAAAAAACAAAATAAAAGCAACTAAAAATCTCTCCAGATAATTCTGGTGCTCTAAGAGGACAACAGATAACAGTTCAGTAAAGGGCAATGTTTGAAACCCAGATGTCAACAAAGACACAAATCTCTGAAGGTCCCCATTTTTAGAAGTTAACAGGATTTAGTCATATCTATGGTATGACAGTGAAATTAGAGAAACCTAACTCTTCGATGAAATGTTGCTGTATTTCACATTTCCCCTTCTGTCTTCTCAGCCATCATGTATGTCATGGGAGCACTTGGCCCTGCAGTGGGATATTTATTAGGTGGACTTCTTATTGGTTTTTATGTTGATCCGAGAAATCCTGTTCACCTTGACCAGAATGACCCTCGTTTCATTGGAAACTGGTAAGAATTGTTTTCTAATTTTTTCATTTTACTTAATGATAGCTAGAATCATAGCACTCTTGTAGTTATAATAAAATTTCCCTAATATGGAGATGAAAAACAGCTGAAAGACACCTGGGGGAGGGTGGTAGGCAGAATAGTATCCCCTTGCCAAAGATAGCTATGTCCTAATCCCCAGAACCTATAAATATGGTACCTTACATGGAAAAAGGGACTTTGCAGGTATGATTAAGTTAAGGGAGTTGGTATTTAGATGACCTGGGCGGGCCCAGTGTCAAAGGGAAGAGGGAGGCAGGAGGGCCAGCCAGAGAAGGGGATATGATGACTACGGCAGAGGTTGCAGTGACATGCTTTGAAGGTGGAGGAAGGGGCTGCGAGCCAAAGCCTGCAGGAGGACTAGCCCCTGGAAAAGCAAGGAGATGGGGTCTTCTCTAGAGCCCCTAGAAGGAGGGTAGCCCTTCCAGCCCATTTTCCTCTTCTGACTTCCAGAACTATAGCATCGATCAATGTGTGTTGTTTAAAGCCACTGAGTGTGCAGTAACTTGTTATAGCAGCGATAGGAAACTAATACAGGAGTTTGTTGGCAGTGGCTCCACCTCCATTCTCCAGGATTGGGGTGCGTCCTTCACAGTAGCCTGAAGGACATGGCCTACTCTGGCTGTGTGGGGACTTCCCTGTTTACTTTAGTCATACCTTTCATTATCTTTTCTGTGCCTTTTAAAAAATACGTTGTGCCCACTTTCTTGTTATAATATATTTGTATTTCTGCTTAACAACCCCCCCTGCCCAGAACTCTAGCGCTGCCATTCCGTTGTCCTGCTCTCACGGAGTCTTTCTTCATGCTAAAATTACATTTTGTTTCCCCACATGTGCCAGCTAGAGGTTTAGCTGCTTTCTCACTTGGTAGGCCTTAATTGTCCTAATGCTTAGGACTCAGAATGAGAACTTCAACTTTGGATATCACGTTATTTATCCACATAATCTGGGCTGTGTTTGAGTTTTCTGCAGCCCTCAGCTTGAACATAAGTTATTTCTTCACGATTGCAAGCACTAGCTGAAAATATTGGTGTCCTGAATTCATTGCACATGGATTGGAAATAGGTACACACTGATAAGAAATTTTCGTCTTATAACAAAGGGCCTATTTCAGTATTAGCAATTATATGTGTCAAGTAATTACTTTCTAAAGAGTTTCTTTGAGTACTTTGTTCTCTCTTTCATTATAGGAAAATAACCTCGTAACTCCGAGGCTGGTGGGAATACTGTTTAACACTATTTTCAAGGCAGTTAACAATATTAATTGTTATATGACACTTCTTATTTTCGTATATAATGCTCTTTGAAGCTAGAAGTACTAAGCTGGGTTGAATTTTCAAGTCATGCAAAAAGGAGTTCCCCTGTCAGCGTTAGGGGAATAACACAAGAGTTTTAAGTTCTTGACTCATAATGAAATTTTTGGTCTCAGCTGTTTTCTTTCCAGTTCTGAAATAAATCAGAGTGAAGGGTTTTTTTTTCATTGTCAGAAAACTAGATTATTAAAATACAGGGTGTCCCCAAACTCTCCATACAAAGGAAAAGTTTTGTAAAACTTTGTAATGAATGTTTTGTAAATAAATGTACATTTGGCTACAATTTCCCATTTTCCCCATGTATGGTGACTTTTGGGACACCCTGTATATTTGTGAACATCCAATGTATGTCCTGTGTTATATACAGATGTCCACAAGAAGAACATGGTGGTAAGTGAACATCTGAAGAAAGATAACCAACCCAGGGGCAGGGAGAAGGAAGGAGGGCAGGAACTTCAGTCTTACAAATGCTTTACGCTGTCTTTTTTTTTTTTTTTTTTTTGAGACAGAGTCTCGCTTTGTTGCCCTGGCTAGAGTGAGTGCCGTGGCGTCAGCCTAGCTCACAGCAACCTCGAACTCCTGGGCTCAAGGGATCCTTCTGCCTCAGCCTCCCGAGTAGCTGGGACTACAGGCATGCACCACCATGTCCGGCTGATTTTTTCTATATATATTTTTAGTTGTCCAGATAATTTCTATTTTTTGGTAGAGACGGGGTCTCACTCTTGCTCAGGCTGGTCTAGAACTCCTGACCTTGAGCAATCTACCCGCCTCGGCCCCCCAGACTGCTAGGATTACAGGCGTCAGCCACCACGCCTGGTCTTTACGACCTTGGGGAAGTTATTCTGTGCCTCTGTTTTTTTTTTTCTTTTAAATCCATAAAAGCAGATAGTTACAATACCTATTTCATAGGGTTGTTGTGAGAAATGAGTAAGTTTATATATGCAGAGCTCTATGTATAGAATTCCTGTTACACAGTATGTGTTAGCTATTCAGTCCTTTGAATATAATCAGTGTTGAAGTAATTTTATCCATTTTAATGGCTCCATGTTAGTTCTATAAATGACGAAGATTGTCAATATAGACATATATAATAAGGGTCTATTTAAACATATTAAGTCATCCTGTTTGTAACAGATTTCTACTTTGAAGAAAGACATAGTTATTTGTTACCGTATTTCATACAATGTCTAGCAACAATGATAGATTTTCAGTAAATATTTGCTGAAAGAGAGAAGGAAGGAAGGAAGAAATAATGCTGATATTTATTGGGTGCTTACCACGTGTCCAGCATTATACTAAGCTTTACAAACATTCTCATTTAAGCCTTGTAACAACCATGTAGTTGCTAATATTAAGCCCATTTTGCAGATGAGGAAGTCGATGCTCAGGGAGTTGAATAACTTGCCCAAAGCCTCCGGGTCAGTGAGAGCTGGGATAGGAAACTGGCTCCAGGGTGGAGCTCTTAGTCCGTCACTTAACTGGCCCCCTTGGTGAATGGTCTGTGAGTAATGGTTCATGAAGGAGATTTGGGTACCCTGCTTTTTCAAGTTCGGCTACTATTGATGTGTCTTTTTCCAACATATAATGCGCACTTTGTTGTCTTACTCAGCTTTCCTCAGGATCCTTTTTAGCACCATCAATTTATCATGTGTTACACCGATGTTACTGGAGGCTTTTGAAGAATGTGGGCTGCTTCGCTCTGCTTGGAAATGACCCTACACTTTTATATTATTTTTGTGTTAATATTATTTTTGTGTATTTACTATAATTCTTCTCCTTCTTCTGTTATGTAGTCTCACTTTGGGGGCTATTATGAGTGTATCTTTAACATTCGCATACAATTTTAAGTCAACAGCTGGGGGAGGAGTGGCCATGGGAGGCTGAATGCAGATCTACCTAAAAACCAAACCAACCAAACACAACTAGCTACCATGAACTGATTGCTGATTTGGGGGTAGACATTTTATTAGGTCCATTATAACATTGTCTTATTAAATTCTGAATGACCTTTCAACACACTTATTATTACCCCCCTTTTCATATGAGTAGGACGATTTGGAAAAGCGAAATAATTTCACCAGGATCTCATAGTTAGCCAGTGGTAAATACAGGATACAAACCCAGGTCTATCTGAAACCGCAGCTCATGAACCGCCCCCAACACTATACTGCCTGCTTTCTTCTGGAGAGAGCCTGGGAGGCCTAGGTAATTGAAGGCGTTCAGGGGCCTTGAATGTAGAGTTTGTGGAGGGAGATTTCAGAGAAGTAAATCTGCAGCCAAGCACTAAAGGGGCCAGACATTGTAATAGCTATGTTCACTGCAGACAGATGCCTTTTTTTTTTAAAACCTATCTCTTTCAATTTATTTATTCAGCAAATTTTTTTTTTAATTTCAGCATATTATGGGGGTACAGATGTTTAGGTTACATATGTTGCCCTTGCCCCTCACCCCCAAGTCCGAGTTTCAAATATGTCCATCCTACGGGTGGTACGCATTGCACTCTTTGTGTATGCAAATACCCATTCCCTCCACCCCCCTCCCCCCTGCCCAACATCCAATAAATGTTATTCTTATATGTGCACTTATGTGTTGATCAGTTAATACCCATTTGATGGTGAGTACATGTGGTGCTTGTTTTTCCATTCTTGGGATACTTCACGTAGTAGAATGCGTTCCAGCTCTATCCAGGAGTATACAAGAGGTGCTATATCACCATTGTTTCTTAAAGCTGAATAGTACTCGTGGTATACATATACCACATTTTATTAATCCACTCATGTATTGATGGACACTTGGGTTGTTTCCACATCTTTGCGATTGTGAATTGTGCTGCTATAAACATTCGAGTGCAGGTATTCAGCAAATTTTTTGAGTACCTAATCTGTGTCAGGCAGGAGTGGGCTGGTGATTATATTCTGAATAATTGAGATTGCTGGAAGTCTGCCCTGAGCAATCTTCTCAAAATAAAGCCTAATTTTGATTACCTTAAAATTATTTGATATGACTTTAAATATCTTTGAAAGTAGCACACGATTTATTAATGACTGGTTGTAGGAATCATTCTCTCAACTGTGACCTTTAGCAGCTGATAACAGCACTTTAATAGAAACATTCTTTTTTAAAAATGAATTTTCACTTTGCAGTTGATCTGTATTCATACTAGATTGAATTCAACATTAATGCCTAGAATGCTGCTTGCATTCTGGTTACAACTGATGGGAACATATTGAGTATGAACTTGGAAGCTTTAAGGGCAGAGTTTTGGAGTTGTGGCTACCCTGTCAGGTAGGACCAGGGACCTCTGCTTGCTTAGGCAAGGTTGAGAGGAGACTGAAAAATTGCCCCATGGGGGATTCATGCAGGCAAGAAGCCCAAGACCTTCACACGTGGCTCTAATACAACACTGGAATTTGAGTCCTACTCTCTGTATTTGCTTCCTAGTTCTCTGCAGAATGGCAACCTCAGGTGAATTTAAAGACAGAATCTCCAGTTTACATAGCTCGAAGTCTGTGTCTCAGGAAGCTTTCTGACACACATTAATTTGCCCTCTCTAGGTTTTGGTAGCGTTCATAACCCACACCACATAATCTTAACATTTAGTTGTATGCATTCTTTCACTTCTTGGAGATTATTTCTTATATTTTTGGCTTGCTTACAAATAGGTTTAAGTTCTTGAAGGCAAGGACCTCTCAATGTCTTGGGTTCCCCTCAGAACTTGGTGAGGTATGATGAGGGCTGGCTAAGGTGGGGGGGTTCAATACATTCTTAAGTATTTGCAGCAAAACATTTGAATACCATCAACAATCTAAAATATATTTCGGCCGTGCGCGGTGGCTCACGCCTGTAATCCTAGCACTCTGGGAGGCCGAGGCCGGTGGATCGTTTGAGTTCAAGAGTTCGAGACCAGCCTGAGCAAGAGCGAGACCCCGTCTCTACTAAAAATAGAAAGAAATTAGCTGGACAACTAAAAATATATAGAAAAAATTAGCCGGGCATGGTGGCGCATGCCTGTAGCCCCAGCTACTCAGGAGGCTGAGGCAGGAGGATTGCTTGAGCCCAGGAGTTTGAGGTTGCTGTGAGCTAGTCTGACGCCACGGCACTCTAGCCCAGGCAACAAAGCAAGACTCTGTCTCAAAAAAAAAAAAAAAAAAAAAAAAATATATATATATATATTTCACATGAGATATTAACACTTTTAGTCTAAGAAAACAGTGTCTATATGGGTCCACAAAGCATTCTGGACAGCCTATATTAGTTTTCTATTAAATTTACCATTTGGGGATTTATTATAAAATGTGCATTGTAGGAGGGTAACAATGTTAGCAGAACTAACCCACAGGTGCTTGAAAACGCTTGGAATTCTAATCAGGTTGCTGATTATAATATTTATTATGATACTAGTATAATTATTGGGTAGATTTCTCATACCACAGAAAGGGAGAATCCCTTGATTTTCTTAGTTTGTACAACTTCCTACTGCTTTACAGTTGATGAAGGGAAAAAATTTTCTCCGGAGAATTTTAGACCCACAAACGTCTACTTTGCTAATTTGTTCTCACTCACAAAACAAAAGCCATAAATGCTATTCACATTTCCCGATTTTTTAGGTGGAGTGGATTCCTCCTTTGTGCCATTGCAATGTTTCTTGTGATATTCCCAATGTTTACTTTTCCAAAAAAGCTTCCACCTCGACACAAGAAAAAAAAAAAGAAAAAATTTTCTGTTGATGCTGTTAGCGATGACGACGTTCTGAAGGAGAAGTCAAACAATAGTGAACAAGTGGACAAAAAAGTTTCTTCTATGGGATTTGGAAAGGATGTCAGAGGTAAAGTATATCTCTTGAATAAATACGTGCATGATGCTTTAGATCAGTGCTACTCAAAGTGTGGTCCCAGACCAGAGCTGTCCTCCGACTGTCTGTGCCTGTCCTGCGCTAGGGAAGTACTGAGATTGAGAGAAAGTGTGGCAAAACTTTTTTAGAAATTTGACAGAGTAATTTTATGTCTGTTGAATCTAATAATAAAAAAAGTTGGGCTTATATTTTGTGTGTTTAAAAAATTAATTTTCTGATAATTCATCATTCACATATTTTGTCAAAGTATCAGTTGACGACAGACTGGAAATAATAATTTTTTAAAAATGGTCCTTCCTCACAGATAGTTTGAGAAGCACTGATTTAGATCATAAAGTTATAGATGTTTGTATATATCATTTACTGTAATTAGAGATGTCTGATTTTTAAAATACTTACTGAATTGTGTAACAGATGGTTTGTTTCCGGGGAACAGTGGCTTTGGTTGTGCGGCCTGGTGTGCACCCAAGTATAAAACCTACCACTAGAAAGGGATGTCATTCAACAGTAGCTCTGTCAAATGCTTGCATGCGGCCATAGAGAAGGGTGGCCAGGATATGGGCCTCCAAACCTAATGTAAACACATCCAGAAAGTTTCAGTGATGTATTCATCTATTTTTTGATTTTTATTTCTCTTAAACATAATGATCATATTAAAACTATTACGGTAAGGCAATCTGAAACTTAAACAATTTGAATTGATCTTCACCAGACAGTATTTGTTCAGTATTGAGTATATCTGTTGAATGGCAATAAGTCCTTTTAATTCCAGAAACCTATACTGTTACACTCCCATTATAAAGTTTCAGCTTTATTTCTTGAATTCTCTGAATTTTTTTTTTTTTGGTATAAATTATGAAACATAATATTTATCAAGTGCTTGTATCAGTCAAGGTTGTATTAGGTAAGATTAACTTAGGCACATTATCATCTCATTTTGACTATATATGCAGTAAGGACAAAGAGGAACCTTTCAGGCCTAGAATAACTTACTAATATGTTATAGACTTGTCCCTACAGCCTAAGAATAACAATAGTTAGATTGGACCATTTTTAAGGTATTTGTGAAAGCAAGTGAAGTGACATTTCATTGAAAATGTTTCTTCCCAGTTAAGTGTTAGATTTGGTCCCCTCCCTCCCCATTATTTTGTGACAGTGTGCACTTGTGGAACTGCCAAAATGACTTCTTATGTGCTAATAACATAAAGAATTCTGTGGATGAAAGCATGGCCCGAACTCTGCCCGTGTTGGCCAGCCCATCATTCTTCATGGATGTATTAGAGACCATTATGGCTACTAGCAAAGGAGTGTTTTGTTTGTTTGTTTTCTGTTTTGTTATTTTACAACTCAATTGAGACGAAGTTGAGGTTAAAGAATGTAAAACAGGAATAGACTTAGAATCTTAATTTATGGAGACTATACAGGCATAGGTAAGATAAAATTGTATATTTTATAGCCTTGGGTAGATGAGTGTGAAATATATATCTATTGGAGAGTAGGAAAAAGGGGGAGAAGATTGGTATTACATACGAACGGCGCATACAACTGTTGATGGGAACGAAGTTCTTTTGGAGGATGCAGGGTAGGCAGTGCTATCAACGCTCATCCACAGTCTTGGACCTTAGCGGTTTCATGGCGGAGGCCCACCAACTGCCAGGACCGGCATCATGTGTCTGAAGGTTTTCTTTGTAGGCTGAGAAAACCGCTTGGCTCCTGCTTGAGGCAGTCTTCAAGTACCAAGGAATTAACACCCCAGCCGCCCGTCCCCCAGAGAAGTCTTAACCAGATGACTGATAAACACCCCAGCTCCCTGCCTCTTGGCAAGACGACCTGAGGTGCGTTCCTGTGTTCTCTCTTCCCGGGCATCGCAGCCAACCTCTCCCCGCCCAGCGTCCCTTGAGCCTCCCAATTAAATTACCTGGACTTGAATCTTTGTCTTGGGGCCTGCTTCTGGGGGACGCTCACTTAGACATGCAGATTCAAAAGTGATAAAAAGCCATCACAAGACTTAAAAATCATTTTTGGAAATTGAATGTTTACACTATTTTATTGGCTATCTTCTTGTACTGCTAGGTATTGTTTTTCTGTTTTTTCTACCTTCAGTTTGATTCAGGATAGTTTTTCAGGATAGTTTTTCTTTTAAAAATAAAAATAAGAGGAGTCTTTGAACAGTGATGGGAATTGGTTTATAAACTCTGTTTCTATTCTGATTTTCTTGGTAGTATTTCTGATAAATTCTTCTTTTTCACCCTCTACGTTGTGATGACTGATCCCACTTCTGTAGTTAAACCTCCTGATTGGCACACAGAGCTGATTCATTTTATTTCTTCCACTTGTACTGGATTCTCTAATTGTATCAAGACTGGAACTTTAAGAAGCACTTTGTCTTGTTAGGAAAAAAATGCTGTTTTATTTGGATTATATTGAACATGTTTTGCTAAAAATGATTCAAGTGATATTGATGATATTAGAATACTGTTCAATGAGAATATTTAAAATTAATTCATATTTATCTTGTACACATTGATTTCCTTTAGAGTATCATGATTTCTTTCCTTCAGAGTAACATACCATTTGAGGGAGGTGACTGTCTAATATGTTTCAAAAGGACAAATTAAATCTCTGGGAATCATTCTGCTAATGATATGATTTGTATTTTTTTTTTTTTTTTAACAAAGCTTAGAATCACTATGAAGGTCTTACACTAAAGAATGGTTGCAGCCAGCTGTGGTGGCTCACGGCTGTAATCCTAGCACTCTGGGAGGCCGAGGCGGGCGGATCGTTTGAGCTCAGGAGTTCGAGACCAGCCTGAGCAAGAGCGAGACCCCGTCTCTACTAAAAATAGAAAGAAATTATCTGGACAACTAAAAGAATATATATAGAAAAGATTTGCCGGGCATGGTGGCGCATGCCTGTAGTCCCAGCTACTCGGGAGGCTGAGGCAGAAGGATTGCTTGAGCCCTGGAGTTTGAGGTTGCTGTGAGCTAGTCTGACGCCATGGCACTCTAGCCCAGGCAACAAAGCAAGACTCTGTCTCAAAAAAAAAAAAAAAAAGAATGATTGCTAAGCTTTCATTCTGAGTTAAGTCTGACTTTGAGTCCCAGATCCTCTTTTCCTTTCTGTTTTCGGGAGCAGGACTTCTTTTGGTCTTTATTTTATATTTGAAACTCAAATACCAATATTAGCTTCTTCAAAGAGGAGGTAGAAGTTGGTAACTTGTACTTCCTTAAAAAGAAAACTATTTGGGCCATACAGAATGGAGCCCTTTGGGGAAGTTCTATTGCACAGAATGATAGAAGAAAATATACTGTACTTTCCATTCTCTGTCTCCACATTTTAATGACAGACATTGGGAAAATCTGACTCAGTGTTTTCATATTCTTCTTATAAATTATGCAGGAATAGGGCTGTTTAAAACACCACAAAGGGGAAAGTAGAATTGTCAGTATGTCTGCATTATATTCCACAAAGAGATTAGCATTGATTCCATCAGAATCTTACCAATAAAAATAAACACTTAAAATATTTAAGTGGATCAATTTTCTTGAGGTTTGAGGGTCTAGCATTTTAAAGCTTTCCAAATTTAACTGGGCATCTTCCTATCTACGAAACTTTTGGTGGCAGTTAACCAGAAGAAAAATTTTATTTTTGTGTCCATTTTTAATCTTTTAAGCTTAATTGCTTAGTATTATTAATTTAGCATAAAATGTAACATTTTTCTCTGCTGGAGTTTTTTCTGTGTTGGAATGCAATGTATTTATAATCCTAACTACATAAAATAGTTACTCTGAGGGCATGAGCTGATTTAAAGAGGCCATGGAAAGTTATAGAACTTTGTTCATTAGAGGATAACGTTGGCATCACTAAATTCACTGAGCATTCCGTCTTACAGAGGGTGCTGTGCTCCATGCTGTGATAGTGGTAAAGATGAATGAGCCATGTTTGTCCTTAGAGAGCTTAGAGTCCACTGAGGGTGAAAAGACAAGTACAGATGGAAATATATTAAAGACCATAAGAAGAGAATAACAGTGGTGTGGAGGTTCCAAGGGTGGTGAGGGAACGTCTAGTTGAGAGATCAGGGGAGGCTGCGTGGAGGAGGTGGGATTTGAGATGAACTTTGAAAGACTGGGCGAATTTCGGTAGGTGGAGGTGGGTTGGTGGGCATATTCCAGGCAGAAGGTAGGCCTTTGAAAATGCTGAACAAGTTTTCCTTGTGGCTGGTGTGTTGGATATGTGTGGCAGAAACTGGGGAGACAGGTTGGGAAGGTAAGATATGCAAGACGGTGGCAAGTGGGAGTGCCAGCCTTTCACTGGAGTCCCTAGTGGGGAGAGGGGAGTTTTGAGCAGGATTTGGCAGCACTCCAAGAGGTAGATTCTGGAGAGAAAGGAGTAGACTGGAGGGAGGGGACCCGGGTGAAAAGCTAGGGACAGAGCCCAGGAAAGAGGTTTTGGCTAGTAGAGAAAGCAAGGACAGCAGCCTGCTGAACAGGTCCTCCTGCTTTGACCCTTGCTCCCTTTCAGCCTCCTTTCAACTCAGCAGCCAGAGGGACCCTGTTAAAACTCCTCTCAGAAAAGTCCCCTCCCCTACAACCTATGTGATCTAACCTCTGGTTACCTCTTTACCCCATCTGCTTCTTTCAGTCTCATTTGTTCATGCTGCATCAATCACATTGGTCTCATTGTTGGTCTAGACATGTGCCAGGCATGCCCTCACCCCAGGGCCTTTGCACTTGCCATGCTGGGAACACTTTCAGAGCACCACACTTTCTTCGGTGTATTACTCAAATGGCCCCTTTTCAGCTAGGCCTTCCTTAGCCACCCTGTTTAAAATCTCTGTGCTCCCCTCCAAAGCTTCTTACCTCCTTCCTGCCTTTATTTTTCTCCCTAACATTCATTACTAACTTACTATGTATTTTTCTTATGTATCTTATCTATTGTCTCCCTGATGAGAAAATAAGCTTCACCATGGCAAG